GTGCCTAAACAAGTAAATTGAGAATAGTCGAATATGTGCCTACACGTTTTGCGCTGAACCGTCAGTTGTCGTTAAGATAATGTATCTGGCAGTTGCGAAGACTAGTGCTGGCTCGTCTCATGAAATCGACCTTTTTGAGGAATGTCAGTGCGGGTTATGCTAATCTGGACCATCTCTCAAGCCGCTAGCCTGATTTTAAAGGACCTAATACTTAGCCAATAATTTCCAGTCGGTCGTTTAGGTATACGCGAGCAATCCTTCGAAGACACCTAGGATCAAGTAACAGAAAACTGTGGATGTCCTGTGAGCTCAGTGGACTTTACAGCCATAGTACCGAAAACAAACCCGTTGGTCGGCAAACTAATATCTCGCTTTTACCACAAGTTCAGAAAGTTGGCAGGAGCTGAGGCGGCTTCCTCGACTACCGACTGGTCAGTTGCTGGCTTACGTGATCAACCTCCGTTCGTACGTTTCCTTGACCCTTATTCTCATATAGTACCGATCGTCTGCTGGTATAAGATGTCTCAAGCCGAAGTAATATAGATCCCCGATAAGCCTTACATTGTTAATAACTAGTCAGTCAGTAACAACGCAGAACTTCGCACGTACGTACATCAGTTCGAGTTGCCACACCACATTAGCACAGAGATGCAGTGGTCGATTCAAATCCCGTAGTGGTAGAGGTAATAAGAGTATAAGCAGTAATCGGGAAGGTTAGGGTTTGGAGATGTTATTTAAAAAGTATAATCCAGTGAAAGAAATTTGGAAAGAGGAAAAAAGGCACATGAAGCATTCAGAAGATTAGAATTTGGGAGAACACAGAGAGTGGATGCACCTGCGCACACCATTGCAAACGATTTTGAGCCATGTCATTCAGGGTCTCTAACCATCGGTTGCTGTCATCTCGCGGTCCCCAACCAGGTAGTCTACACCTACCAACATGACTCAGTTCACTTGTCAGTGACTTCATGGACTTGTGCCATGTTTTGGTTTGGCCGCCCCTAGCTTTCTTCCAACCTACTCCTATACCACTGAACATAGCACGTCGAGGCAGTCGGTCGTTGGGCATACGTAACACGTGTCCCATCCATCTCAATTGGTGAAGTTTCACTACTTCATCAATTGATTTGCCATCCTTACCTAGTACCCGTTTCCTAACAACTGTGTTACTTACTCGATGGTCCCATGATATACGAGCAATGTTTCGAAGACACCTATGATCAAATACTAGTAACCTACGGATATCCTCTACTCTTACCAGCCATGTTTCACTGCCATAAAGTAGAACGGAACGAACTGCTGCGCAGTAAACACGTCCTTTGGTTGATAGACGGATATCTCGCCTATGCTATAAATGACGCAAGTTGGCAAAAGCTAGTCGAGCATTCTGTATCCGTGCTGAGATTTCATCACACACTAAACCACAAGAGCTGATGAGACTTCCAAGATAAGTGAAGCGGTCGACACACTCAACTACTTCACTCCCTATCACTAGTTCGGGTGTCGATGTAACCCAATCCTGAAGCAACATTTTGCATTTCGAGGGAGAGAATCGCATCCCGAACATGCTTGCATTGTTGCTTAGAGTGGTCAGAAGACTCTGCATTTTGTCAGCGTCTTCACCAAATAAAACTATGTCATCAGCATATTCTAAGTCAACAAGTGAACCTCCTGGTAGAAGTTCAACCCCTGTAGATTTAGATGAGGAGAGTGTTATCTCTAAAAGTACGTCAATGACAAAGTTGAACAAGAATGGGGAGAGTGGACAGCCCTGACGAACACCACTTGAGGTGATCAATTCTGATGACAGTTCGCCATAAGCTCTCACTTTACCAGTTTTGTTCGAGTAGAGAGCCTTTATAAGGTTAATGTACTTCTTTGGTACTCCTTTCAGTGACAAACACTGTCATAGAACCTCACCATCAATAGAGTCGAATGCCGCCTTAAGGTCGAGAAATACCACCATTGTGGGGCGTCTGAATGTGTGTCTGTGTTCTAGAACCTGACGTAGTGTGAATATCTGATCTATACAACCACGTCCAGGTCGAAAAACAGCCTGGTTTTCTCTAGCCTGCTCTTCACGAGCTTTAGTTAGGCGTCGAAGTATTATTGAGGCTAATATTTTAGACACTATATTAGTCAAACTGATTCCTCTGTGATTGTCACAAGAGGACTTTTGTCCTTTCTTAAAAACTAGCATAATCAGTGATTGAGACCAGTCAGATGGGATTACGTCCAGTTCCCGAATTCTACCTAAGACCTCGGTTAATCTCATTGCTAATACTGGACCACCATCCTTAAAAATCTCAGGAGTAAACCTGTCAGGGCCTGCTGCTCTCCCTCGTTTCAGATTTCCTATGGCTTTTTCAACTTCGTAAAGTGACGGAGGACTTACATTAACTTGCCATTCAGATTGACTGGAGATCGTGGGAAACCGAAGTGTGGCTGAAGGCCAGTTGAACTGATCCCTAAAGTGTTCTGCCCATCGATCCAATCTCCTGGATTGAGAATGAATAATATGTCCATCTTTCTCTGAGATTGTTTCGCTAACGGTCGGGTTCCTAATTCCGGTTTCCTTAACGAGTCTAAACAATTGTCTGCTATTACCTATTGCCGCTGCCTTTTCCATCTCTCTTGCTTTCGCTACCCACCACTGTTCGCGATCATTGCGTAGACTTCTTGTCAGCTTGCGCTTAAGCTGACTCCGCTCTTCATTATGTTCAGAGCCAGGTGGAATGTGTTTCCGAGCATTTATCAGTGAGATAGATGCTGCTGAGATCCAGTGTTGCTCCCTAACCTTCTGGTTTACCTTACTAGCAGATATCACTGCTGTTTCCACAGCTTTTCGGATATCATTCCATGCTGCATCGGGGTGGGCATCACATACATGGCTGCCTAACTGTTTTCCTAGTTGTTCCTGAAATATACTCTTAGCTTGACTATCATTAAGTAGGGCCCTAAGAGGTTTCCTTGCAGGATCTTTCCTACGTCCAGTAAGACGCAAGCAAATACGCGCTCGCACTAGAGCATGATCTGAATCTAGGCATGTGCTCCAGAATGAGCGACAGTCTTCTATCGAGCCCCTCCATCGGTGGCTGATAGCGATGTGATCTATTTGGGTCCAACGTTGGGACGAATTAGGGGGTCGCCATGTTAAAAGATGTTTTTCCTTATGCTTAAAGTTAGTATTTGCAAGGAACAGGCGGTTATCTGAGCATAGCTGCAACAGACGGTCGCCATTATCTGTTCTTTGAGCCACGATACCATAGGATCCACCTAGGTGTCTTTCCATATCGCTTAGTTTACCTACTTGAGCATTAAAGTCACCGGCCACTATTACTACATCCGAGCGCTTAGCTTTTCGGAGAAGGTCCGAAAGCTTTCTGTAAAACTCATCTTTTACATCATCTGAGCTGCAGTCAGTGGGAGAATAGGCAGAGACGACGAAGAGGCAACGACGAGTGTCCCTATCTTTCCGGATTCTTACTGTTCCGTTCAGTCGGACAGCGCACAAACGATTGTTTACTGGGATCCACTCTAAGAGAGCTAGTTCTGCCCTAGGACTCAATGCTATACCTACGCCGGCGAGTTCACGGGAAGCAGAATCAGGGCTTCCAGATACACGAAGCGTAAATCGAGTCGGTTCTTTATTTTGGCATGGTGAGGTCAAATGAATGACGCTACTTGGATCCTGTATGCGCGTTTCGGAGACGCAGCACACATCGATGGAGCGAGATTCTAAAGTCTTAGCTAAGGAAGCCTGCTGTCCTATTTGGCAAAGTGTTCGTACGTTAAAAGCTCCTACGTGTAGTTTAGAGCGTGGTTTCAGGAGACTAGGAATGGCGTTCCGCGTACTCGAATCGTTTGCCCTAGCGGTGCGAGGTGATAAAGAGACGTGAGGAGGGTTAGTCGGGAGGATAAGAGAGGTATTAGGAGGTGTAGGAAGGATTTGAATGTGACCACCTTGGTCTCTTGTGCTGTTACGGGTATGAGGGCTGATGTCACTTCCCGGCTGCCCACACCGTGGAAGGGTATTTCTTGAGGGACCTGAAAAGGAAATTGGATTAGTGTTGGTCCTGACGACCTGGGAGCGTGACCGCAGAGCCGAAGGGACAACTGCTTGAGGCCGGTCGCGCACGGCCTTTTTGTGGAAGGTTTTTGACGTGTTAGCTCCGTTCTTCAAGGGGCCTTACCGCCGGAGACGGAAATCCGTGAGGTAAGGTGAGGTGTGCATTTTTAGGGTCGACCTTTTCTAACCCCAACCCTCCTTGTGGGAAGGCAGCATCGTTGTCGTGCTGGTTGTCCGAGGGAAACACCTTACTGCTGTCACACCTCTCTACAGTCAGCAGTACGACTTCGCCCTCAGACCTTGAGTTGCTGCTTTTAGTCTTACCGTTCGCCAATCGACCTGCCTGGCATGGTAGAACCTGCAGGAACATATGTTCCAGCCAATATAGCTCGGTTGGGTCATCACGATAGGCAAGCCCGACCACCGCGTCAAGGTAACTAACTGTATAGACAGTTTCTTGAGACATTTTGTAATGCCTTTATTTACTAATGACGTCGCAAGTAGGATACCATCACTCGAAACAATAGGGTCTTTAACCTACACACTGAAATCGCCTTACTATTTCCCCTATCATTATCGTAATGGTTGTTAGCTGCATAACCTGACTTCTAGTCATTAGCCTATCAGTTTGAGACTTGTTACACCGACTTTGGCTTGTAAAATTATATAAAATAACGAGCTCTTATTGTGTCAGTCAGTCAGGAACAACGTAGAACTTCGTACGTACATCAGTTCGAGTTGCCACACCACATTAGCACAGAGATGCAGTGATCGATTCAAATCCCGTAGTGGTAGAGGTAATAAGAGTATAAGCAGTAATCGGGAAGATTAGTGTTTGGAGATGTTACTTAAAGAGTATAATACAGTGAAATAAATTTAGGAAGAGAAAAAAAAGACAAGGAGGAATAAGGAGATCAAAATTTGGGAGAACACAAAGAGTGTATGCACCTGCGCCATTGCAAACAATTTTGAGCCATGTCATTTAGGGTCTCTAACCATCGAGGTTGCTATCATCTCTTTTATTGTGTGGTTCACGGTTAAGTACATTAAATTGTACTTATACACTGTAAAATAAGTCAACAAATAGTAATAATACCACTAATTTTAATAATATACACAATGACAGCAAATACAATACTTAAAAACTATTGACGTCAAAAATTAAATGTCAACAGATAATAAAGAAACACTTGAAAAAATAGTAAGGGATGCACAGAAAATCTTCATATGTCGAATGTTCAAATATAAACCATGAATTTTGAGAGAAAAAAATATACAATTTGTTGTTTCATAGAGTTAAATTTTAATGCTGTTAATATAACTAATTCAATTGGTAAAAGCTGAGAAACAAAAGTATTTTACGATGTCGGTGGTTTACTTTAAATCTTAGTAAGAAAGACAGTAAGAAAAAAACAAACAAACATCCTGGCGAAGAACAACTGATCATTTTTATATTTAGTTCAAGTTAATGGATGCATATAATTTGATGATGATGATGATGTAAGAGCTCTAGGATCTTTGTCAAATTTTTTAAAATTTTTCAAAATTGGATAAATGTTATTAAAAGCTTCATAAATTTCTTCACGAACCTTTGCTCCTATATAATAATAAAAAAGGGGAAATAAAATACATATAATAATGTTAGTAGTTTTATAGACAATTAACTACATATTCAATTGAATAAGATAGTCTTACGGTTGATTGGTAAAGTATATCGCTGTACCACTAATAGCTATAGGATAACTTAATTCTTGCACCTTGATTTTCCCTGGATCATTGTGTGTATGATAAATGTACAACTAGCAGTGAAAGTATTTAGCCTTTATCTACTGAATTACAAGTTTCACAAAAACCTCTTTACCTATTTCAGCTTAAGCAGTAAGCGCTTGTATGTGAACATGTACTTGGTCAGTGATTACGATGTTCGACTTCCAATCACAGTTTTGACCACAACTCTAATTACTTAGGTCTGGATAATCGAGTATTATCATTAAGTCTTAGACTTGAAGTGGTTAGAAACCGAGTACATAAATCTATAGATAGTAATGAGTTATTAGTAAAACTTGGTCTTTCAGTGCTATTCAAACTAATGTCAAACATTCTTCTTTAGTAAGCTTTTTCCTATTCTGAATTAAATAGGATAATACTAAATATATTGAACTGATGTTGACAATGTCGTTGGTGAGAAGTCACAAACTGAAACAACAATTACTCAGTGCTGTAGTCTTCAGTGTTTGTGTCTAGTTGATGATCACGAGGCTAATAAAAACTATCATCCACTTCCATTAATTTGTCCATCTTAATCACTATATTTATAACAGAACAATTCTGAAAATATGATGACTGGAATTTATGAAGCACTAAATAGCTAGATTTAGACACAAGGACTATGGATTTAATAAAATACTGACGCTTGTTATCACATTCATCTGAAGTAATATTTTAGCTTCTGTCAGGCAGTCCTAAGTTTGTGGAACCTAATACATGTTTAGTCGAAGTCTCTACATTACATAAACACCGAAATATGAATACTAAAGTATTATTATTGGTGGTAGTACAAAGCTTTGATGTTAAAGGTGATTCGCGGAATAAGGCACAAGATAATTTTGACATTCACAATCTGAGAGTAAAAAAAAAGTGGATCTGTGCTGTCACTGGTCACTATAAGTATACCGACTCCAATCAGATGTCTGCATCTACGAAAACACCTTAGATTGGAAGTCACTGACTTTATGCATTGATAACACATTTTGGTTTGGCTTTCCCTAGCTGTAAGTAGATGTGTAGCTTCAGTCAAAGTAAATAATGATGGGCTGCCCTGGAATAAATTTGTTTGAAGTTGAGGATACAGATGACTGGATTCTGACACGATGGTTTCACTATAGCTTCCCGAGCACAAGTCCTAATTTTATGGCATAGTGGATGACCACTCCTAAAGAATTCCGATCTACAACATAGCAACTGGCTCCTTAGTCCGCCATACCATACAAACTCTTAATGAAAATACTAAGGATTTGTATAATTTAAAATTTAGCGTCGTTAGCATGCTAATTCTTCGACTTATACGATAACGTTAAAGCCATATATGGTTCTTCTTATCTGCCAATGGTTTCAGCTGGAGATTAACATATCTTCAAACCATACTTGCTGGATTCATTTGCATCAACAAATTCATGAATACTAATAGTAGTAACAATAACACATAGTACCACTGAAATAAATCCACTTTTTTTTACCTGTTAAAACAATCTTCCCAGAAACAAAGACTAATAAGACTATTTTTGGTTTAGTCATACGATAAATTAACCCAGGGAATAATTCTGGCTCATATCTAAAATTAGAAAAGAACAATCCATATGAGATATGATCGAAATGTACTGTATTGATTCACTACAAAGACAAACATGACATAAACTATTTCAGGACATTTGATATGGTAGATAAAACATTAATGCGAGTTACCATATACACGTTAAACCCGAGAACATTATACTTCCATTTGGTTGAATTAGCTATTGTTAGTAGTACCGAAGAAATATGAGTGCATCTATCGATCCAGCATGATTCCCTCTTTGGTTTAGGCCCTAGAGATGGTGCAAATTAATGACTTGAGGAGTTACCAGACATTTTGAAATAGGAGTCAGTAGAAATCGTGATGTGGTTTTCTTTTGAACTTCTTAAAAGAGTGAGATGAGCTTTGCTAACAGAAAGAAGTCTTCTGATTGTAATTTCGACCAAACTATATCTCCTATTATTGTCCACTGACTTTTTTGTTGGCATTCCCCTTAACTCATTTCTTCACTAAGTTATCTCTATATTATGTAGTGCAAACTATTTCTTGTGCCTAGTTGTAGTGGGTTTTACGAATTAAATAAACTAATAAACACAGGGAAAGAATAATGCGTTTAGATAAAGGAATTAACAACTGGATATTTGTGATTTGTTTAGGAAACGTTTTTACTGTGGGAAGCAGTTAGAAAGTAGTAACATCAGGATTAAGCACACTTTATGATTTTAGTTTCTATACATTGTTCCGTCAAATAAAAGCGAATTAGAACGTAAGCAGCTAATTGCAGTGAGTCCTAGAGATAAAGGCCTTCGGAATAACGTACGGACTGATAGTGACTCGCGAAAAATTACACCAGTCGTCAGGACTATGGACAGAATCACGCTTTATATCAATTTAACTTCACAATACTAGGTTGACTCTTCACTTAAGATTCTTTTCTAGATGAAGTAAAGTGGGCAGATGAAACGTACCGAGTAGTCACTTGCTCGCCCGCAACAGGATAGCTAATTTAACATCGATACAGGGATTGTTTTAACCTAAAACTTAACTGCCGCCAATATCAAGTGAGACAACGTTTTCAGTATTGCAATTTAGATTACCTAGAATTGTATTTGAAAATAAAAATAAGGAACCAAATTAATTGACAAATACAACTACTTGCAACCCTATTTAACTGACAACACTAATTTATTGGTTAATTGATCTTTCAACTATCAGACTAAAAAGTTCAAGTTAGTGAAAATGGCGTATAAATAAATAGGAAATTAGTTTAACAGTTACTTATGTATCGTTCGACTAAACAATCAGGGTATAGTATGCCAAAAGACCTAGAGAGAGTGTAGTGACAAATAAGAAACTGTAAAAGTACCCATACTTGAAGTGCCATTCTGGATTGTATAGAATGTTGTGAAACATAGATAATAGATTCTTGGAGTATTGAATTAGGTTCCATACTCTCATTCTATTATTCAGAATGATTAATAAATAGTAAATTTTGTATTCAGATACAAGTTTCTTTATTCAGTTTGAAATGAGAGAAACCTTATGTCTTTTGAAACATAAAGTGATAGAGAATAGAAAGATTTTGTGAGTAGTAGTAAATATTCTATTATAGAGAAAAATCTTGGTACAGTTGCAGATAGGAAAATCGTCTAGTTTTTTATTGACGGCAAAATACTAAATGTTTCAATAAACACTGAAACAAGCGAATGTCCGGCGCTTTAACCGGATTCCAAATCAATGGTGCACATGGGCTCCAGTATCCTGCGGGAACAAATAGCGTATGAACCAATTGTTAGTCACCGGCTACCATGGGACTGCATCTCCTTACGATGCTCCACTGCCTTGTGGATCAAACCTTCAGGTCGAAGGCTCGGGGAGTGGCCTCCTAAGATAACCACTTGCTTCGGTTTGGGCACCCGGGCAGTATCACAGCCCTCACACATATCGGATGAGATTTGTGTGGCGCATATGTATTTGGTGCCTGCCTTGAAACAGGCTTAATTACTAGTTCAGCTATTGTTCTTTGAGTTGCCACAAAAAATATCCTTATTAAGTAAAAGAAAAAAAACGCCTTAAGAACTTACGTTGCAAATTGACCTTGTGACAATACTAAACCTTCAAGACGTATATGAAAGCGGACATCACATGAACCAACCATATTTTGAATTTTGAACTCTTTGAAATGAGCCTGAAACATATTACTTACATTATAAACAAATATAAATTATAGTTGATTATTGTCATGATGCAAACTTTATCAGTCCGTCAGTCAGCTACATCGTAGGACCAGACACATATGTGTATCGGTCCAGGTTGCCATACCGCATCAGCACAACAAGATGAACACCGAATTCATAGCAAACTTTATGGAGTAAGACAGTAAAAGGATTATGCGAGATCAAAAAAAGGGCATGGATGGATGACAAAACGAAACTACCGTTTTCATTACTAAATTAATTGTGAGTAGCTTCAATGTCACTTCCAATTGTGAAATAATAGTAGACTACAATTGATTCACTTTACTAATTTCCTAGTCCATTACATTTAATTGATTAGCAGGATTATTAACCTACGATTAATTAGCAAAGAATAATACCGAAAATATTCGATGGAAGTAATTAGGTTACTGAATTATTAATTTCAATGTTTGATATTCAGACAGTCTAATCAACACAGTTAAAATAAATCATATCAAGTTACATAAACCCTGTGGAAGTTGTTTTAATAGAGCATAAATCACATACCACCCTTATGACATTTCAGTTTGATGGTATCTAGTCTCTTCCAGACATACATTCTATGTTAGCCAACATAGTATCTCGGAGTGAGTTGTGGATGAGTGTGTGTATAACACAAGCTTAACCAGCTAGGAAGATGGTTTACAAACTTTCCAACAAATAAATTTCCAATTAGTGCTCTACGTTTAACTTGGGTATTATTTCGTTAGTGGTATTACTATGCAAAAGCAATGGTTCTACAGGATCTTTGATCAGCTAACTTTTAAACACCAATTTTCACAGCAAGGTAATAAAAAACGAGTCGAACACCAGAGTGACTTTATAACACATCCACTCAACTGCAAATAAAATGCAAATATGTAGAAATGTAATAAACTGCTCTCAAACACCCTGGTACAGCTGAGGGTGAGAAGAGTTCGCTTTACTTCTCGAAATGCTTTTATACGACTAAACGTTTATAAACTGTCGGGGAAGCCATAATATCGACCTTGCGGATCTAACCGTTACGTCAGAGGCTCAGGGATTATCCTTCTATGAAGACCACCTAGTTCAATTTGAAAATTACATATTTTATATGGTACATCCTGTATATGGTGATTGGTTGTACCTGATAAATAAACGTAAACGGATAGTAAAAAAAAGACACTGCATACAATAGATAATACAATGACAGAATTACTTCAAATCCAAGCCTTTGAATAATACGAGCATATTTTCTTGCAGCTAGTCTTGCTTGCTCTTCACTTTTTGCACCTGTACACACCATTTTACCAGAAGAAAAAATCAAAGCAGTTGTTCGAGGTTCACGTATACGCATTATAACGGCAGCAAAACGTTTTGGATTATATTCAGCATTTCGAGCACTAAGTGCTATATTCTTCAAATTTAATTTACATCCTAAATATACGGTACATACAATATTCCTTATTTGAAAACAAAGAACAAGTAAAAACTAATTAACTAAGATAGAAGTGTATCAATATTAACGGTAAATAATACTTAATTGACCATAAAGTGATCAAATCACTGATCTCGCATATTATCCATCTTTTTTAGTAAAATAAGTAATATAGTCAGAACAAAGTGTGAAAAGAATTAACGAAATTATTTACACTTACTTCACTGGTTGAAATCATGAGTCAATTGAAGCTAGACCACGATGGTAAACCTGATAGCACTGAACGGCTGTTTCGTCCTAGTATGGAACTCCTCAGCGGTGCACATCCACGACCCCGCACCCCGCGACATTCGAACCCAGGACCTACCAGTCTCGCGCCAGGCGCTTAACCAACTAGATCACTGAGCCGGCATCCAACGGTGTTAATGTCTAACTTCAACCAATCCACGAAGTTGCGCCACCGTACACCATTGTTTTCAGTGAGTTCCTATCTCACAACAGACCTGGTTGAACCCCACTGGTAACGACTTCTCACTAGAACTGCAGGAGTATCTCCTGAAGTCAGTCACTAATGAGCAGGTGATTATTATTATCAGACTGGGTTTTGTGGAGATTTTTAGAAATTTCATTGGTTAAAATCATGAGTCAATTGAAGCTAGACCACCATGGAAAACCTGGAAGCATGGTGGTCTAGTTTCAATTGACTCATGATTTCAACCCGTGAAATTTCTAAAAATCTCCACAAAACCCAGTCTGATAATATTTACACTTACATTGAAGTCGTATGGACAAAGCATACCCTGACATCACCAAATATGTAAATCAATTGGAAATACCAGTTGAGAAGTTTAGGTATGACGATCGAAAACCGATTGCAGTTAAGTACTTGCTGTTATTATTATTATTTTCTACCCCCAATATTTTTCTATATTTAAGAAACTTTGTTGGTCTGCATTTGAAATAATATATATTTTATCTCAGTCATATTCAATGTAAGATTTGACATGCATATGCGTCGGCCCAAGAAGTTGCAACATCACACTGCCACAATGAGATATAATTATCAAAAATCCAGGAGTGGTAACAGTATCAGTGGAAAAAAACATTTGGCGTAGGACGAAGAAAAATAATATAAGCAGATTTCAGGACTCAGAATCTAAGAGAAGACAAAGACTGAATATACCTGTACCATGGTGAACGATTCTGAACAATTTACACATTATTAAAATTTTCTCAATGATGTATTTTATGTCATAACAGACTATATTTAGATCATAAGAACATTACAGATTGTGGATTATAATAAACTTGAGGAAATGACAACAAAGCTGTTCACTATTGATTTATTTACGACGTCTATTCGACAAATATTCTTAGTCATCATTTCAAGTCACTGAGCAGATAAGAACATGACATTTAAGTTGACCATAATAGGAATGTAGTACAATACAGTGGAAAATCTATAAGAATATTATAATGAGATAGTTAATCTAATTAAATAAAAACGATAACTGAAACAGTTAAACAGATAGTTTCTTCATAAACTAACTTCAAGATCCCAATCAATCAAGTTTCAGAAAATAGAAACATTGACCAACTGGTTAAATCTTTGTGATTAAGAAACGTAGAACCCGGTACATATATGCATCGATCTCGGTTGCCAGAAGAAGTATATCGTAGATAAAATAGGTCAACAAGTGGTATTATTTTGAGAGGTCAGTACGTAATTACGAGCGGAGTATGATGACTACTACAACTACTCTACTCGACTGTTGTTGCTACCTTGACGTGGTGGTCGGGCTTGCCCAGCGTGATGAGGCAACCGAGCTATACTGGATGGAACAACCGTTCCTCAAGGTCCTACCATGTCAGACAGGTCGGTTGAAGAGCGGTAAGACTAAAAGCAACAAACCCAAGGTCCGAAGGCGAAGTCGTACTGCTGACTGTACAGAGGTGTGACAGCAGTAAGGTGTTTCCTTCAGTCATCCGGCATGACAGCGACGCTGCCTTTCCACAAGGAAGGATGGGGTTAGAAAAGGTCGACCCTAAAAATGCACACCTCGCCTTATCCCACGGATATCCGTCTCCAGCGGTAAGGTCTCAACAAGTACGGAGCTAACACAAAAATTACCCATCAAAAGGTCGTGTGTGACCGACCTCAAGCAGTTGTCTCTCCTCCTTACAACACTAAACTTCCTCTTTCCGCTTCCTCCTCAAGTGCCACCACATCCAACGATTCTAGTGCGCGAAACACTATCTCAGGCCTATTGGAACATTACTCCAAACTGCGCAATGGAGTCTTCAACGTATGTACCCTGTGTGAAATCGGCCAACAGGCCTCCTTGGTTAAAACCCTAGAATCTCGTACCATAGATGTATGCTGTGTATCCGAAACACACATACAGGATCCTAGTGTGGCCATTCACTTGACCTTACCTCGCCAAAATGGAGAGCCGACGAGATATACTCTCCGTGTATTTGTTGACCCGATGGCTAGTTCTCGTGCACTGGTAGGTGTAGGCATAGCATTAAGTACGAAGACAGAACAAGCACTACTAGAATGGATCCTTGTTAACAGTCGCCTATGTGTGGTTCGGATAAACGGCTGTGTAAGAACTCGGAAGGATAGGGACACACATTGCGTTTTCGTCGTTTCTGTCTACGCTCCCACTGACTGCAACCTGGATGAAATGAAATATTACTTTTACAGAAAGCTTTCTGTGCTTCTTCATATATAGTTAGGCATAATACTCATAGCAGGGGACTTTAACGCCCAAGTAGGTAGCTTAAAGCAAACAGAAAGACATTCAGGTAGATATTTTAGCATTCCGGCTCACCGAACAGATAATATTGACCGTCTGCTGCAACTGTACTCAGACAGTCGTTTATTTTTAGCAAGCAATAATTTTAAGCTCAAAGAGAGGCATGGTCTAACATGGTGACCTCCTACACCAAACCAACGATGGACTTAAATAGACCATATTGCCATTAGTCATTGTTGGAGAGGATCGACAGAAGACTGACACTCGTTCTGAAATACCTGTTTGAACTCCGATCATGCGCCTCACTGGACGCAGAAAAACTACACTAAGAAGACCCATTAGAATTGAACTCAGTGACGAGAAATCCGAAAGTAAATTCCGGGAACAACTGAAGTCACACTTAGGTAGTTCTGAAAACGAGGCTGACCCAGATGTTGCTTAGAAAGATAAACGAACAGCTGTGAAAACAGCAGTGACATCTGTCAGTGATTTGAACCAAAGGGTTACAAAAAACCAATGGATTTCTACTAAGTCTGTTGCACTGATGGATTCCTGTAAACTTATCCCATCAGGCTATGAACACGATGAAGAATGAAAACAAATCAGATCTAGGTTAACCAAAAGTCTAAGGAACGACCGTGAGCAGTAGTGGGCAAGGAAAGCAAAAGAGATGAAGAAGGCGGTGACTGTAGATAACACCAGAAAGCTTTCCAGACTGATAAAAGAAACTGGGATCAAGAAGTTAAATATAGATGGGACGATCTCGGAAAAAGACGACACTTATCTGCTCTCAGCCCAGACGTTTAGAACGATGGGTGGAACACTTTAAGGAGCAGTTCACCTGTCCTTCAGCCACTCTACAACTACTCACCATCCCTAGACAGTGTGAATGGAACATTGAATTAGATCCCTCAACTCTAGCTGAAGTTCAAAAGGCAATAGCTAATCTGAAACGAGGAAAAGAAGCTGGTCCAGAGGTCTTTAAGAATAGTGGTCAAGTTTTAGCGATTAGGGTGACTAATATTTTAGCTAAAATCTGGGAGTTGGACGTAATCCCATCTGACTGGTCTCAATCACTGATTGTCCCAATATATAAGGGGTCAAAATCATCCTGTGATAAACATAGACGAATTAGTTTGACTGATATAGCATCTAAAATACTAGCCTCAATAATTATCGGGTGCCTAACAAAGACTCGTGAACTGCAAACACGAGAAAATCAGGCTGGCTTCAGACCTGGTCGTGGCTGCATCAACCACATATTTACCATTCGTCAGATTTTAGAACACAGACATACTTATCGGCTTCCGACAATGACAGCTCTTCTTGACTTAAAAGCAGCATTTGACTCTGTTGACCGAGAGGTTCTGTGGCAGTGTCTGCCATTCAGCGGTGTACCTCAAAAGTACATGAACCTTGTGAAGGCTCTTTACTCGAACACTACTAATCGAGTCAGAGCTTTTGGTGAACTGTCATCTGATTTTGCAACCTCAAGTGGTGTCCGTCAAGGCTGTGCACTATCTCCATTTCTGTTTAATTTCATCATAGACCTACTGCTGGAAATAACGTTCTCGTCGACTGAATTTTCGTGTACTGATCTCTTACCATGAGATCAACTTATCGACTTGGAATACGCAGATAATATTGTCCTATTTAGTGAAGACGATGATAAAATGCAGAGTCTTTTGGTAGCACTGAGTAACAATGCCAGAATGTTTGAAACGCGCTTCTCTCACTCTAAATGCAAGTTGTTACTCCAGGACTGGTCTGCGTCAACACCTGAACTAAGGATAGGGAGTGAAGTAGTCGAACACATCGACAAGTTCACTTATCTTGGAAGTATGATCAGCCCTAATGGGTTGGTGTCTGACGAAATCTCTGCACGGATTCAAAAAGCTCATTTGGCTTTTACCAACTTACGTCACCTATGGCGAAGACAAGATATCCGTCTATCAATTAAGGGACGAGTATACTACTCAACAGTTTGTTCTGTTCTACTTTACGGTTACGAAACATGGTCAATAAGGGTGGAAGATACTCGTAAGTCACTAGTATTTGACCACAGATGTCCTAAAAATATTGCTTGTATCTGCTGGGATCACTGGGTAAGTAATAGTGAGGTTGGATGCAAGGTATTAGGGGATGATGGTAAATCAGTTGATGATGTAAATCTTCATTGACTGAAAGGGTTGGGCCACGTGCTGCGTATGCCTAAACACCGATTACCACGACACGCAATGCTGATTAGTGTTGGAGACGAATGGAAGAATGTTAGGGGCCAAACCAAACCTTGGCATCAGCCCTTGAAGTCACTGACTTCTGGTGTGAACATTGTTGGTAGATGAAGACTACTTGGTTGGAGTCCCCATGACTATCGTAACCAATGATTGAAGACCCTGGCTGACATGGCTCAGGATCGACCACAATGGTGTAGGTGTATACACTCTCTGTCTTCCCTTGAACTGTGAGACTAAAATTGCTTTCTATCTTTCTTTATGCCAACTAATTCTTTCTTCCTGTACTATACCCTTATACACAATCTTACTTTTTATATATTACTGTCATTGATGTAACTACTTATATGAATTTGGTGTTCATCCTATTGTTCTAATGAGGTGTGGCAACTTGGACCGATGCATATATGTGCCTGGTCCTACGTTGTAGCTGACCGACTGACAACTACTCTAATTAATGAATAATTCTTACATACATATGTACCATCACAAGTTTCAGGTTACTTGTTGTAGAACTAGAAGACGAAATTTCTTGGAATCATTAAACGACATTTTAATTGGCTGAACTTACTGTAATTGGGGTACCGGGATTGCACCATCTCGGTCTTGCAACGGAGTAGATAAAGTGAGCGGAGTACAAGGTGTTCTGCCTGGAATACTGGCGGCATTGTCAGACGCATGTAAGTTAAGATTGACTGAACCCCCAGAAATAAGTGGAGTTTTTTGTTGTAAACTTGAATCTCCTTGTAAAGGCAAATTGCCCAACAAGCTTCCAATACTAGCTACACTATGTTGCTGTGATAAGGGGCTGTAATGAAAAAAAAGCTATGAATAAGAGTTAATTATAAGATACCAATTTTACTTGTTGGGATGATGTGCATGATAATAAATTCTGGTAAACCATAAGATATAGTGTAGGTAGTGTACGTACCACAAAGCCACATTTTAAAAAATAAGTTACACTAAATAATGATCATTAAACATAATTTCTTAATAAAAGATGTTAGTGAATTCATATTATACGCTTCTCATTTTGCTAATAAAGTTTCCAAGGAAAAACATTACTGCAAAAGTCATACAAAATGACCTGCTTTGTGAGGTCATTATTTATTGATTAAACACGAGCATAAATGGACGTTACTTGGTTAGAATCGGTCATACATACAGATCAATAGAGAAAAGCCGAAATATAGGAAACCAAAGATTATCCATGTACAGTAGACTTATTACAAAGTTTTGTTGTAAGGCTATCTCAACACTTTACAGTTACTACTGCCTTGTCTTGTTTTTACTTTTAGATGACTTCTCTTACTGCTCTGCAACACGATAATTCAACTTATTAGGCTTTCACAAAAACAGAAAAGTACCAAGGTGCCACTGTATTGAATGTAATAACCTGAAACGATGCGTTACTCGTAGCGTAACGTGTTTCGCTACTGAATGCATCAAAGTTTAGATTGCTAAATATTATGAAAAAGTACCACTTCATAAAAAGTGGCATTAAGCTTTACGTGATCATTACAACATAAAATTACAACTTAGTTTTTCATTGAGAGCACATCAATATCTGAAGTTCGCAAGCACTCTCTACAACTTGGCACTACAAAACTTTCGTTTCACTTTCCTCCGAGTCAGTACATGAGGGGGATATAGGATAGTGTGGTATCGAGTTTTGAAGAACATAAGAGCAGACGGTTTTATAAACGATAATGATCACAGTTCCTACTTAATTTTGATCTTAGTCATATAAGTCTTCTGGGTGGAATACTTAAGGTCAAGATGTACGAGATGCAAATGTCGCTAAAAACCCTAGCACCCAGTATTGTCTATGTTTTTAGACAAAACATGGTGGTTATAGCTGCCATTGAAATCGAAGCAGACATATAACCATAGATTGCAACAAAATTTGGCACTGGATACAGCTAAATTAGTATCGCCAGCTATTGTAAATAGCATAAAACAACATACGGTAGTGAAATCTGAAGTGTTAAGCTGGTGGTCAGTGTCCTTGAAACTCCATGACTACACTAACCAGTTCTACGAGACAGCCGAAAAATAGGAATATCAAAATAGTACGGCCCACAGTCAGACACCATAGTTTGGGAACGAATGTTCAATTACTTGCCTACTATATACAACAGCTCTAACTACCAGAGATCTACATGATTATGATCCAGGGATAGGGGCAGGGAGAAGCTAACCATCCCAATAAAAGATAGACACTACCGTTAGACAGCAGTTGCATAGTTCATTACAAACATAGTTCAATCATACTTAGGATCCACATGTGGCTGTTAGCGTTTTACATATATCACCGTTCTGGAAATGCTGCTTAAGACTAATATAGATATTCGAAAGTCAGTCGAGTCACCACGTGGTGATTTATTACTTCTTAAACCTTTATTCAGGATGATAAGGCTGACTCTAGGGGAGTGAATATTATAGGTATTTGGAACATTTTATCTATAAATATGAAGTGATCTGAAAATTATGGTAAACAGAGCACTATACTTAAGCAACAAAAAACACACCCGCTAAATACTTACTTCATAACAGAACAGTCCAACTAGAAGAATTATTTACCTAGAACAGCGACGTCGTACTATGTCCAAATGAATTTAAAATGCTGTGAGCGTCAAATCTCAACAAACTATTAGCCATCCTCTTGAATTAGAAGCGCATTATTTGGTTTCAGTACGGGACTTTCAATGCCCAATTGATTGCTAATATGACTGGACGGAACAGATGAAACTTACGTTTAACGAGTTTATGTGTGTATCATCAAGCGATCGCTGATAACCTCAGGTAGGATGCAGAGATATTACTAAGTTGGTATGATACGAAACAGAGACAACTAGGTTCTTAGTGAACATATCCAAAGGGGAATTGCATAGTTTGCAACATGTTTCAAATATAATGCTATACAATCTGGAGTTGACTACGGCACTTAACACAAGCATATACGATCTGCATCACTGTAAGGTCATTTTGGAATACGATATCTGACTACACTTGTGACTGTCAAATGCCTTAGTTCGGTTAATATTGATTTATTTGCGTTAATTCGAATGCCTCACACACGAACCTTTACCGTATCCCCTTGTTTAATTGTCTATCTATCTAGTTATCCATCTGTTGGTCGTGGTCCATTATCCCCCAAAATGATTAGCTCTGTAAGTCTTCGACATTTGCTGCTGGCCGCATTAGTTTTATTGAATTCACCAAGCTGAAGGCCCTCGGTCACGCATCCACAACATATCACGAGTGGAGACGTCGTGTTTCACATCTTCTACGACCGCTAACGAACTTAGATTGGTCACTTCTCAATATATCGATAGCTTATCAGCTATATCTTCGAACCTCTTCGCTTCTGACATCTGATTTGACTGGGTTTGCATACTTTGACTACAAAAGATGTTACTGGTCAAGGTGTTGTGAAATTCCGAATACTTGTGGCATCTTTAATTACATTAAACGACTAATAGTTGAGACACATCATTGAATTTACATTCTGGATAGTTTCAATTCGTCTCAACTCAATACAGATTAGACCAGACATCCAAAGCTGTCACGGATTTATTCCACATAATACGATTGCTGGATATTACGTTGACAATATTATTCCCATTTTAATAAAACTGCGTGTGATTTATGGTACCAGTGTCAATATACGTTCAGTGCATTAGCGAAAGGGTGTAATTCTGATATTGTCCCGGAAACACAACTAATATTTGATGAAATTGTGTCCACTCAGTCCTATTACACTTTGGTAGTTTTTTACCAATGTAAACACTAGTTGGTCCATGTAATTTCACATATGTTCATGAACATTAGTATTCTAGTTCTCACTTGATTCATTTGTTCTCGGTCACCGTGTATAAAAATGACGAATATATTGAACATCCACTGTTTTCCACCTTAACTCAAGGTGGATTTGGATTTTTCGGAAGCATTAACTTTTTATCCTTACTGAAACCTTTCCTCAAATGCAATACAACGTCAGTGAAAAGTTATATTTTTTGAAAGGCCCTTCATAAAGAGGACAATCTGTGTAAATCTGCAGCAACGCAGATTGCAGTGCTGAAGACCCGTGTATCTGGTGCTACTACACACGAACGATTCATCCTAGTTTTTGAACATAATTTAGAAACTCAAAGTCCATGTGATTATGAAGTCACTTCTGTTTCGTATTACCTATTTTGTTTTCATAGAAAACGATGCCCTTCAAAACACACACATCTTATTTCTATGTCATTGTGTTTCTGTGCTTACGAGACTTTCTTGTACTTAAGTATGTGTCCGTCATTTATATTAACTACTGTCTCCATCACACTACTTATTATCCATTGTGAATTATACTCACGCTCGTAATCAGTAGTACGGACGAGCTTAGATCCTTACGTTCTCTGGTATTCGACGTTGAAGTAAATATTTTCGGATTATCATACAAAGTGTGCTTTAATAATAAATATATTTTTTGTTATATCTCAATGAGTAGGAAAATTGCATTTCTGGTGTTTCCTGACTTATTGTAAGCTATTTCTTTAAAGTAAATAGATAACCGACATTAGATTATTTATATAAATTATATAATATACCCTTGTGGGTCAGGGTAATTTTACATTGGTTTACAGGAGAACTAGGCACCATCAACACTTCCGCGCGACGACTAAGAAAGTACTGCTCAATCCCGTTTAACAGGAGAGCCAGACACCACCCAGGCTTACATTTTATAACCCGAACAGTACAGCTCATTCCTGCTTCACAGGCGAATCAGACACCATATAGGCTTTAACGCTACAGTCTGAATAGTGTAGTTCATTTTAAACACCGTGGTGGACCAGACATTAGATTAACACAAGTTTAAATAGTAAAAAGTAAGCAATGCAAATGCCCAATGCCCAATTTATTTGAAACTATCAGGTTCACCTTTGGTATAGATATCTATAAAGTGGGTTTTAATCTCATTCTTTCAAAGTACACAATACACTTGAATCTGACTGACCTGGGCTGATCGACAGTGATCAAAATTCTTACTCTTTATTGCTGAGTTACCCACATTCTATTCATTATAAAATTTTTGCATAAACTCAGAAACAAAATTGCTTGATATATCAATCTCAATTGTGGATTGATGATGTCACAGGTATTCAGTGTTTGACAACGCTTCTACCAGTAACACCTTCTAATGTATTTCGTTCCCACCAAGAGAAATCAAAAGACAGAGTCGAGGAGATCGGAAGAGTATATTTGGCGATGACCAATATATCGGAATTCTCTGATCTAATCTGGCTAGCGATTGCGGTTGATGTTGAGCACGGCGTTACCACACGTGATCTGGTGCGGATGCATGACCGAGCGCCTTCAGCTAGATGAGTCCACTAAAACATATGGTCAGCATCCAATGTCGAAAACGTAGTGCTATTTATTTTGGGGATTTATTTAGCGCTACAGGATCATTAGTTAACCGCTTACAAAATATCTTATATCTCCCTTGATACAAGCAATAAATGTGGAAAAATCCGAGATTTTTCGGTGAAGCACAACTAATACAAAGACTAAATCAATTCATATATAACCAGTCTATGGGACAAATAACTTGTAAACGTCTTTTTTTATAGAACATTGACACGTCACTACCCATTGATTAATCACTTGTAAACAGTGACAAATTCTAATTACTTTTTGTTTTCACAAACTACAAAATAGTAATTATATAGTGAATATTCCACTGAATATTATTATATTATATTTATTATATTATATTATATTATTATTAGCTTTATTCAATATTATAATTTTGGTACAATATAGAATTCCCAGCTCAAAGTATTTCAACAAGTTTCCGTTTCTTTCTTCTTGGTCGGTTCTGGCGATAAATATTGAGGAAACGCCAGTTAGATGTTAGCACTTCAGTGAATGAACAACTGAATAATGTGCATTCTTTTCGTTGTACATTGCCAGCAACCATATTGTCTCTAATTGAGTTTTCTGGAACTTTGACAACGAAAGGTTGTACACTTTTCAGAAACGCAGCAGAATAGGTTATGCGATTAATAAACATAATGATATATTAAAACAAACAACAATAGATAACTTGTTGAAATATCTAGATGGCAGGAACAGGTAGCCCAGATGCTCAAGCAGGCCGCCCTAGTTGATGTTCCTAAGCATTACTTGATTCTTCACTTCACATTTCTAAAGCTTAAAAAAGAAATATTCAGTAAAGAGAAGATGTAGAATTATGGCCTATTACGATATTGGCAATGCTCAAATAAAAGACCTAATCTTAAAATCATAGATTTGTTATGATGTAAATGCCTAATCTATAAGATCTTACATGGAAGTCACATTATTGTCTATCCTGATTTATCGTATCGTGACAATTATTATTATATGGTGGAAACACGTTTAGATTAGAGATAGAGCAATATATTAAAAATGGATAAAAATAATTTTACATAAGACCACGCCTGCAAGGCCGATCCATACCATCCGTTTAATTCGAATTAACTCAATCCATTTTTCCCGCTTCCTCTATCGTTGGGTTTTTCTCCGCTTTAAACGTTGAATATCTATGTAAAGACCAAACTGCCAGTATTCGGTTTGAATGCATGACTGACCAACCAAAATTTATTTGAATAGGCCGCACTACATTCTTCTGTATAGCGTACCAAGCGTTTTTGAAATACTCGTACTAAATTATCTCAAAACACAAACTCTATGCACAATCCAAACGTTTCTAATTCAGGGAATTGAACAAATTATATCAAAAATACAAAATGCCTCAAACGATACAGCCTGTGCTATACAGTCAGAAGTTTCTCTAACGCAAAGTAGTGCGCTAAACAATAAAAGAAACAGTTAATACCAAAGGTATCGATACCTGAGAATCAATAAAAATATCCCCAACCAGATGAGATTCCAGCAATCCTCCTAATCAGACAGTCAAGAAGTAAAGAGACACATGCTGAACAACGCCGTGAACTTGAGATTAATCAAACACGACCTTACTGTCAATAGTCCAGCAACATGCAATAGAAAATTAGGAAACAAGAGGTAAATATTTAATCAAAACCACATAATAACGGCTCAGACGAGGAAGATTAAAGAACAAAAGGTTCGGTTAAACGAGATGTGAACAAAGTTTAAAATACACGACGGGAAGATGAAACAAATAAATGACAGTACTGTCCTACAAGAAAGCTGCGGAGGCCTGCTTGCTTTTCGGCACAACTCTTTCATGCTTACTTAACGCACCTGTAATTTTGGATATCTGTGTGTGGCCCCATAATAAACGTAATCAACACTTTGCGTTTGCCTTCTGAATAATATACCGTTGGGACGTTATCTAGTGACGGTTATCAAGACAAATTGTATACGAAGTTTAAGGATTATACTGAATACCAACCACCACAATTGTTTTGTATTTATGATTTATTTTAATACTTGAAATATTTATCATGTTGAAGATGCCACTGGTATTCAGAGTTTGACAACGCTTTAATGAGTAACACCTACTATGAATCGCACCCACCAAGTGAAATCAAAAGACAGAAGCGAGGAGGTTCGAAGATATAGTTGATAGGCTATCAATATACCGTGGATCGACTGATCTAACCTGACTAGCGATTGCAGGGGATGTTGAGTACGGCGTTCTCACTCGTGATCTTGTGCGAATGCATGACCGAGCGCCTTCAGCTAGGTGAGTCCATTAAAAC